TGGAGAGCCACCAGTCTCTCGCAGAGGCTAGTGCCACTAAGTTGTTTTTGGAGATTGCGTCTGGATGATAAAGAGATGTGGAATTGCATTCCTGTCCTGGCCACTGGCTTGGCCCCAGGAAGCGGTGGGTGATGAGTGCATCATGACATCTCATCTCTCCTTTGATGTCTGATGCCTACGTGGCCCCATGTGAGTGGGAGAGGAGGCCTGTGCAGCTTCAGGAGAAGGACATTGGAGTGGAGGAGGCATTGAAAGGATGCTGTGTGAAATTCTTACTCTGCAGGAGTCTCCCCCTTCAGATTTTTAAAAAATTGTGATCATATACACTGTCCATTTTGGTGGTATAAGAAAAATTCTTAGGCTAGGGAATTTATAGACAGAAATTTATTTCTCACGTTTCTAGAGGCCAGGAAGTCCAAGGCATCACTAGACTGGGTGTCCTGTGAGGACCATTCTTCCTAGATGGTGACTTCTTGCAGCTCTTCACCTGGTGGAAGGGACAAGGCAGATCCCTTCAACCTTCTTTTGTTATCCCATTCTCTATGGGTGGGCCCCGTGACTTAATCTCCTCCTCAGGACTTGGCCTCTTAATGCTGCTGCACTGGGATTAGGTTTCAGTGGGAATTTTGGGAGGACGCCAGTATTCAGACATACCGTACCCACAGCATAAAGTTTACTGTCTCATCCATTTTAAGGGCGGTTTTCTGTGGTACTAAACACATTCTTCTGTACAACCGTCTCCACCCTTCCTCTCTCCAGAACTCTCTTGGTCTTGCAAAACTGAAACTCTCCAGCCACTAACAAGCAAGTCCCCCTTCCCCACCCACCTTATCTGCAGGCAACCCTGGTTCTGCCTCTAGATTTTAACCCCTCTAGGTACCACCTCATATAAGTCAGACCATACACTGTTGTTTCAGTTAGCTTTTTTGCTAGTGTAACCAAATCACCTGATGAGAACCACTCAAAAGGGGGAAAAGCTCATTTGGGGCTCAGGGTTTCAGAAGTCTCTGTTCGTCCCTAGATGACTGACTCCATCGCTCTGGGCCAAGGTGAGGCAGCACCTCATGGGGGAAGGGCATGGCAGAGGGAAGCTGCTCCCCTCCTGGCAGCCAAGAAGCAGAGAGTGGGGGTGTGCAGGGAAGATGCACCCTTCCAGGGCACGCCCTCAGCGACTTACCTCCTCCAGCCCACAGTGACCACCCAGTCAATCCCTTCAAACTAGGGTGGATGGGTTAGGTTACCGCCCTCATGATCATTTCACCTGTGAGTTCCTGAATTAACAGGAGCTTTGGGGAAATACCTCATATCTAAACTGTAAAAAGTATTTCTCTTTTTGTGATTGGCTTATTTCACTTAGAATAATGTGCTCAGAGTCCATTCATGTTGAAGCCTATATCAGCCTCTCCTTCCTTTTAAAGACTGAGTAATATTCCAATTGTATGAATTGGACATGTCTGCTCATCTATTGATGGACACTTGGGGGTCCTTCCACATTTAGTGATTACAAATAATGCCACTATGAACATGATTGCTCAAATATCTCTTTGAATCCTGTTTTCCTTTCCTTTGGGTCTAGACACCCAGAGGTGGAATTGCTGTCATGTGACAATTTTATTTTTAATATTTTTGAGGAACCCCCATGCTGTTTTCCATAGCAGCTTTATCATGGCATTCCCACCAGCGGTGCACAAGGACCCGTTTCTCATGCTCACCGACATTGGTTATTGTCTGCTTTTTTTTTTTTTTGACAGCAGCCATCCCCATGGGAGTGAGGTGTTGTCAGTATACTTTTGATTAGCTTTTCCTTAATGATCAGTGATTGGGAGAATGGCAATTCCGGTGGTCCAGTTTCAGAATACCGCATTTAGCCTTAAATGTAAAATTACTGGGGATGAAAGCATAGCATCTAGAGGGGAAATAGAGCAGAGTAGAAAGTTACAAGCAGTTAACTCACAATAATACTACAGCCTGTGGATGTGGCAGATCCGTCTGTGCACCTGAGCTGCCCTTGACACACAGGAAGTGGGGGAGGGGCCTCCTGACCCACAGGTAAACTGGGAATATGCCAAGATGCTCTCACTCCAAGAAGGCCTTCTGCCACAAGAGAACAAAGGGAGTGAGGACAACTGAAGGTGCTTTTCTTCAAATTCCCAACAGGAGACAGCAAAGCTCCCGTAGTACTCATCCAGTAGAAACCAGGGGGTTACCTTGCACACCAGGGACAGGATGCTGCTTGCTCCCTCAGGCACCAGATTTTTGCAAGACCATCATTAAAATCCTCATTTTCTATGTACCTGGTCTTTGTCTCTCATGTCCATTCTTTGAGTTTGGGCAGGTGAGCATGTTTCTCAGTGATTTTAAGCATCTTTTAATGTGTTTATTGGCTATTTATATGGAAAAATATTCATTCAGATCTTTTGCCCATTTGGAATCGGGTATTGTGTTGTCTGAGTCTTAGCAGTCATCCATATATTCTGCATGGTGGTCTCTCGTCCGATGGATGATTTGTGAAGTTTTTTCCTATTCTGTGGATTGCCTTTTTACCCACTTAATGGAGCTGCCCGCCCGCTGGTCTTCAATGCTGGGGTGGAATCTGATTTGTCTGTCTTTGCTCTGGTTGCCTCTTTGCCTTTGGTGTCGTGTCTGTGAAATCATTATCAAATCCAATGTCATATAGCTTTTCACCTGTACAGTCGTTCCCCTTATCCAAGGTTTTGCTGCTCCTTCATAATAATGGGAAAACTGGCAACATCATCAAAACCAGATTTTTCAGAGCTCTGGAAATTAACCAAAGACTGACAACAATCCAAGACACATTTCACAGGAAAAGTGGCTGAAAAAATTACTCATGTTTTAAGCCAAAAATTATGAAGCACACAAAGAAATAAGAAACAAGAAAAGTATGATTCATATGTAGGAAAAGAAGTAAGCCATAAAACTGTCCCTGAGGAAGCCCAGATGTTGGACTTTATAGGCAGAGACTTACATCATCTATTTCAGATATTTCTACAGAACTAAAAGAAAATGTGACCACAAAGCCTGACCAAATAGTGATTATCAATAAGTAATAGATGTGGCAAAGGATGAAGCAGATATCCTGGAGCTGAAAAGTGTAATAACTAAAGTGAAAAATTCAATAGAGGTGCTAAGTAGCAGAAAAATGAATCAACAAAGTCGAGGATAGGCAAATTGAGATGATTCAATCAGAGGATCAGAAAGAAAAAAGAATGAAGGAAAATGAACAGAGTCTCAGAGACCTGTGGAGTACCATCAAGTGAATCAGCACCTGCATGATGGGAGTTCTAGAAGGAGATGAAAGGGCTAGAAAGAATACTTGAAGAAATAATAGCCAGAAACTTCTCAAACCTGATGCAAAACAAGAATTGGTACATCCAAGAAGCTCAATGAACTCCATCTGGGATAAATTCAAAGAGATCCATAGTTAGATCCATCACTGTTAGACTGGAAAGACAGAGAACCTTGAAACATTAAGAGATAAGCAACTCATTGTGTACAAGGATCTTTAATAAATTTAATAGCTCATTTCTTCTCAAAGCATGGGGGCCTGAGGGCAGGGGAGGAACGAAAATGCCAGGTGAGGCAAACCTTTAACTGGAGTTATTTAACCTTGAGTCTTGGATAAACCTGATCTCTTCCATCTTCAGAGATAATTTATCAGTTTTATCTCTCTCTCTCTCTCTCTTGTTTGTTTTGTTTTGTTTTGCAATACTAGGGATTGAACTCAGGGCACATTACTGCTGAGCTACATCTGAAGTTCTTTTTTTATTTTTATTTTGAGACAGGATCTGGCTAAGTTGCTGAGGGTCTCACTAAGTTGCAGAGGCTGGTCTTAGACTTGCGATCCTCTTGTCTCAGCCTCTTGCCTCCTGAATTGCTAGGATTATTATAGGAATGAGCCAACTGTGCCCAGCAGTTTAATCTCTAAAAAACAATTAGTCAAATTCCTTTTATTCTTGACCTGTAGAAAGTCTGCCTTTTACCAAGTTCCCCTCCAGGTATCTCAGAAATACCTAATGGATGTTTATGTGTTCCACCAAACATGGAACACAGTAAGAAGGCTGTCTCTCTATATTTGTGTGTATAGGCATCTATACATACACATAAATTGAACCCAGGGCCTCACACATGTTGGGCAAGCACTCTACCATTAAGTGCTGTTATCCTGCCCTCATATCCCAAAATCTTTGTTAAGTGAATGAAATCTATCTGTGGCTTGTTTCCTTAGCCACGTGTCTAATCTCTGTGACAGACCTGAGATTCAGAGAGATCAGTAACTCACTCTGCTTCACTAGGAAGAGACTCTCAAAACATAAAATTACAACATTTTGTTTTGTATGTGGTGCTGAGGATCGAACCCAGGCCACACACATGCCAGGTGAGCACGCTACCACTTGAGCCACATCCCCAGCCCCAGTTTAAAAATCTTAATTGGTTTTATTTTCGATTAATAAACTGGGCAACACTTTATTTAATAAACAGAATACGTGTTCCAGTGAGCAAGGCACAGGAGGTTGGTTTTATAGACAGAAAAGGGCTGAAGAAAATAGAATCAAACACCAAAAAGCAGCTTGTTCAGGGCTGGAGCAGCAGCTCAGAGTGCTTGCCTTGCACGTATGAGGCACTGGGTTTGATCCTTAGCACCGTATAAAAAAATAAAAGCATGATGTCCATCTACAACTATAAAATTTTTTTTCAAAAAGCAGTGTGGGGGCTGGCTGGGGTTGTGGCTCAGCAGTAGAGTGCTCGCCTAGCATGTGTGAGGCTCTGGGTTCCATCCTCAGCACCACATATAAATAAATAAATAAAATAAAGTTATATATATATATGTATAAAGAATGCAGCATTCATTAAAAAAAAAAGCAGCGTGGTAATTTCAGTTTCCCTTGTAAGGTGGGGACAGGAGACAGAACAATAGAAAACCTGGTTAACATCAGGTTACTAAAGATGAGGCAAAGGGAGCTTCGTTTTCATAGTTGTTGAAAGTGTCCTGTTTGGAGTTGCTTCAGCGTCCTGGTGCTGCTACGCCGCGGAGCCGGTGCGGTTGTCCAGCCAAGATGCCGGAGGAGACACAGACACAAGACCAGCCCATGGAGGAGGAGGAGGTGGAGACCTTCGCCTTCCAGGCGGAGATTGCCCAGTTGATGTCGCTGATCATCAACACTTTCTACTCGAACAAAGAGATCTTCCTGCGGGAGCTGATTTCCAACTCGTCGGACGTAAGTGCCCCGGGAGCCGGGCGTGGTTGGGCGAGGGCGTCCCCGGGCGCTGCGCGTGACTCCTGAGTGTCTCTCCTCCAGGCCCTGGACAAAATCAGATACGAAAGCCTGACGGATCCCAGTAAGCTAGACTCTGGGAAGGAGCTGCATATTAACCTCATTCCAAACAAACAAGACCGAACCCTCACGATCGTGGATACTGGAATTGGAATGACCAAGGCTGACCTGATCAATAACCTTGGTATTATCGCCAAGTCTGGGACCAAAGCGTTCATGGAGGCTTTGCATGCTGGCGCAGACATTTCCATAATTGGCCAGTTCGGTGTCGGTTTTTATTCTGCGTATTTGGTTGCCGAGAAAGTGACTGTGATCACCAAGCACAACGATGATGAGCAGTATGCCTGGGAGTCCTCGGCAGGGGGCTCCTTCACCGTCAGGACTGATACAGGAGAACCAATGGGTCGTGGGACAAAGGTCATCCTGCATTTGAAAGAAGACCAAACTGAGTACTTGGAGGAAAGAAGAATAAAGCAGATTGTGAAGAAACATTCCCAATTTATTGGCTATCCCATTACTCTTTTTGTGGAGAAGGAACGTGATAAAGAAGTCAGTGATGATGAGGCTGAAGAAAAAGAAGATAAAGAGGAGGAAAAAGAAAAAGAAGAAAAAGAGCCTGACGACAAACCTGAAATTGAAGATGTTGGTTCTGATGAAGAGGAAGAAGAAAAGAAGGATGGTGACAAGAAGAAGAAGAAGAAAATTAAGGAGAAGTACATCGATCAAGAAGAACTCAACAAAACAAAGCCCATTTGGACCAGAAATCCTGATGATATCACTAACGAAGAGTACGGAGAGTTTTATAAGAGCTTGACCAATGATTGGGAAGACCACTTGGCAGTGAAGCATTTTTCAGTTGAAGGACAGTTGGAATTCAGAGCTCTTCTTTTTGTCCCAAGACGTGCTCCTTTTGACCTCTTTGAAAACAGAAAGAAAAAGAACAACATTAAGTTATACGTACGCAGAGTTTTCATCATGGATAACTGTGAGGAGCTAATCCCTGAATATCTGAATTTCATTAGAGGAGTGGTGGATTCTGAGGATCTTCCTCTAAACATTTCCCGTGAAATGCTGCAACAGAGCAAAATTTTGAAAGTCATTAGAAAGAATTTGGTCAAAAAATGCTTAGAACTCTTCACTGAACTGGCAGAAGATAAAGAGAACTACAAAAAATTCTATGAGCAGTTCTCTAAAAATATAAAGCTTGGAATACACGAAGACTCTCAAAATCGAAAGAAGCTTTCAGAGCTGTTACGATACTACACCTCTGCTTCTGGGGATGAAATGGTTTCTCTCAAGGACTATTGCACCAGAATGAAGGAAAACCAGAAACACATCTACTACATCACAGGTGAGACCAAGGACCAGGTAGCTAACTCTGCCTTTGTGGAGCGTCTTCGGAAGCATGGTTTGGAAGTGATCTACATGATTGAGCCCATCGATGAGTACTGTGTCCAACAGCTGAAGGAATTTGAGGGGAAGACTTTAGTGTCTGTCACCAAAGAGGGCTTGGAGCTTCCAGAAGATGAAGAAGAGAAGAAGAAACAGGAAGAGAAAAAGACAAAGTTTGAAAACCTCTGTAAGATCATAAAGGACATCTTGGAGAAAAAGGTTGAAAAGGTGGTTGTGTCAAACCGATTGGTGACCTCTCCATGCTGTATTGTCACAAGCACATACGGCTGGACAGCAAACATGGAAAGAATCATGAAAGCTCAAGCTCTCAGAGATAACTCTACAATGGGCTACATGGCAGCAAAGAAACACCTGGAGATAAATCCTGACCACTCCATTATTGAGACCTTGAGGCAAAAGGCAGAGGCTGACAAGAATGATAAGTCTGTGAAAGATCTGGTCATCTTGCTGTACGAAACTGCTCTCCTGTCTTCTGGCTTCAGTTTGGAAGATCCCCAGACCCATGCTAACGGGATCTACAGGATGATCAAACTTGGTCTAGGTATTGATGAGGATGATCCCACTGCTGACGACACCAGTGCTGCTGTAACAGAAGAGATGCCACCCCTGGAAGGAGATGATGACACATCACGCATGGAAGAAGTAGACTAGTTTCTGAAGAACCACTCATAAGTGTGTCCCCCACTTCACCTTCATTCCTGAAACCTTTTCAAGGATTTTTTTTGTTCTTTGTTTTTGTTAACATTTATTAAAATGTGTATGGCATGACAATATCTACTTAAAGGGGAGATAAGATTTCTTTGTACTTTTAAGTGATATACTGTGATACTTTAGGCACTAAAGCAGAGCTAGTAATGCTTTTTCTAGTTTCACATTGGCTTATTTTAACAGGTTGAGATGTTTGTTCTAAGACATGTAACCTAACTTTGTAGTCTAAAGTGTTCCACTACCAAGTTGTATCCCTTAGTAGACCAGACCAAATCTTTTGTCCCTGAAGTGTTCCAGGATAGACCTTGATGTTTAAAAGAAAGATATTTGTTGCTTGAGTTTCATCTCATTAGGATCCCCCTTAGTTACCCACTGTGCATGTACTAGTCCTCTAGAACCAAGTATGTGAAACAGACAACTGGCTGGGAGGAACTCTACAGGGCTTGTTTTCCAAAGAAAAGTATTTCAAGAAACAAAGCTTAAACCTCCCTTGGTGTGTTACAAAGCTGTTCAAAAAGTAGGGCTTGTGAATGGAAATATGTAGTGCCCAAGTCAACATTCTGCTTTAAACAGTAATAAATGCAGATGAGTTAAAAAAAAAAAAAAGAAAGTGTCCTGTTTGGAAATTTGGCTTTTGTGTCTCTAATTCTGATTTTTCAGTGGGTCAGATAAGCAGCTGAGTTTCAGGTTGGTGAAACTTCAATGTGATTGATTCCATTTTGATTTTAGTCTGGTCTGTTTGGGCCCAGTTCAGAAACTTAGTCCAGAACAATGTCCTGTAAGTTTTACTAACAAGTCAGAGCCAAGGTTGGAGAGAAGCAATCCTGATTTCTGTCCTGGGGTTCTTAGAATACGCTCCTGTTCCACAGGGTTTTAGACCGTGTCACAGAGTGTCCTGGTTCCCCGGGCTGCAAAGCCAACCTGAAATTCCTTTCCTTCTTGATTGACTGATGGGCCTCTTCTGGGAGCCTCCGCAGTCACCTGGGAGTCGCCTCCTCTCAGCCACGCAGCTCTCCCTGCTGTTACCCAGGCTGTTTCCTTGAAGACATGGTTTTCTTTGGCCTCCCTGGTTTCTCACTGCCCTGGTCAGCTGGTTGCACAATAGATATTTGTATTTCTGCTAACCTGAGCTGTCTTTCCATCTGTTCATTTGTGATCTTTTTCTTGTTTCTGCAGGACTGGGGAGGCACCAAGGGCCTTGCCCTATATCCCTATCCCTTTTGAAATTTAATTTGAGACAGGGCCTTGATAAATTGCTGAGGCTGGCCTCGAACTTGCCATCCTCCTGCCTTAGCCTACTGAATAGCTGGGATTATAGGATTGCACCACTGAGGCTGGCCCCATTCGAATATTCTCAAATGCCAATTACAGTATCTGGCAGAATAAATTCCCCATGATCCAATCTGAGTCTTCTCACTGAGCTGAGTGGTTTTCAAGGAGGACAGCGGGCATTTCTGTCTAGTATCCAGGAAATTGTTCTTTCCTCAAGTATCTGCTGTGTCCTTGTGGTGAACCCAGCTCTCGACTGCATGCTGAGAGACCACTAGGACCTGGTACCAGCTTTTGCCCTTGGTCACTTTCCTGTGACTGGGGCAAAACACAAGCTTGTTCAAGTAGCGACTAGTTAATATGCGACAGTAGTCCTAACTGTCAGTTGAGTGCAGTGTCTGGGCAGGTGAGATGCTAAGTGCACAAACAGGGATCAGCAGGGAAGGGCATAGTGGTAGTTGAGGTCAGGGGCACTGGAGCCAGGTGGACAGGATGGAGTTCAGGTTTAGCCATTACCAGCCTGTCACCTCTGACAGGTTCCTTAGTCTCTTTGATCCTTGTTTTTTCTTTTCATCTTTGAAAGAGGGACAGTGAGATATTCTCTATGGGGCTGTTGGGGAGATCAAATGAGATAACTCACAGGAGTGGCAGAAGGTCATGCTGGCACCTCGTGGGCACATCCTGCTGGTGGTCTTGTTCACAACACTACTGGAGGACAGTCACAGAGGAACTCCTGTGAGAGTAAAATAGGAATCCAAAGACCTGTAGGATGAGGGGCTGTATCTTCGTCAGGATGATTCAGGAGAGACCTCTTGGAAGCACCTGCCCTTGAATGGTCTCCTCTGGGCCAGGGGGAGGAGGGGCAGATGCTTTGTACACTGGGCAGAGTCATGTGATGAGAAAAGCCAGGCATGGGAAGTGTGGTGCCCCAGCATTGCTGGCCTGGGAGGGTGTTGGAGCCCCCAGTGAGAGGCGATCTGCCCCTGCTTTGCCCGCTGATGCACACAGGGACTGGCCCTCTGGAGGCCCTGGTAGGTGTGGATGCTGCTGGGGATCGGGTACCTGGTCAGAGCTGTGTAGGGACTACAGATGATAAGAAACCCCTGAAGGGCTGGATCTGGGGACCAGCCAGCAGCGAATGGGGTTTTGGAAACCTTCCGGCAGCAGCATGCAGGCTGACCAGGGGTGGGGGGAGTCAGGAGGTAGGGCGGGGACCAGCGCATTGTGGAGTAACCCCACTGGTGTGGAGTGGCAAGTGGTTGCAGCAGAAGGGAGAAGCAAAGACAAATGTCACAGAGGAAAGTTGTCCTGTGGGAGTGGAGGAGGAATTGAGAAGCTCTGTTTGATCGTCTTCATCTTGAAGTGCAGTGCTGGAAAAGGGACCCCTGTGAGGCTGAAGGAAGCTGACCCCAGGGCTGTGGTCTGGGGGAAGATGGAGGGGCAAGTAAAAAGAGGAAATGGGGACGGGTGGAAGATGGGCTACTGAGCACATTCCGTCAGAAAACCGAGTCAGCAATCAGCCCTGAGCACCGACTTGGGGAAAAGAAATATTACCCTGAGAGAGAGAGAGAGAGAGAGAGAGAGAGAGAACACCACCTGGAAGAATGCACAGGCTCTGGGGCTGAGTGCCTCCAGTTCTTGCCTTGTTTCTGGTGAGACAACGTGGTCAGTGTGAGCCTCCCGCTGCCCAGGGAGGCTGGGCTGGCAGGGCTAAGGCGCCTGGCAGGGCTGATCCTGGGGAAATGCCTTTCTTCTGGTTGCATGGAGCTCTCTGTGCGTGCCTTGGCAAATGGACTGAGCAAAAGAGCAAGCGTGTGGTGTGGACTTGAGAGGGGCAGGGGTCCCGTGCGGTTTTTCCATGTGTGGTGGGGGAGGCCGCCTCCTAGCATAAACTTGAACCCAACAACCCTCACTTCCATTTTTCTCCCAAATGCTTCTTAATTTTCATGGCTCCTGTGCTGGAACTTGAGAATGGGGTTTGAACACCACACCAGTGTGGTCACTTCAGCAGAAAAGACAGGTAGGGCATCTGCTGCCAAGGGAAGCACTTTGAGACCAAAGTCATAAGACAGGGATGGTATGCTTTGCCCTCCAGGAAAAGCTGTGTCAGCAGGGTGCAGTGGTATGGATAATTCCAGTAACTGGGGAGACTGAGCAGGAGGATGGCAAGTTCGAAGCCAGCCTTAGCAACTTAGCTAGACCTTCTTTCAAAATTGGAAAAAAGAAAAAGTGGGGAGGGGGTGTAGGAGTGTAGCTCCGTGGTAAAGCCCCCTGGGTCTGATCCCCAGTAAGGGGCGTGTGTGCATGTGCGCGGGGTTGGTGGGCCTGTGTTCTGTATCCGCCTTTGTTCAGCTAGGAGCCACTTTTCCTTTCCTGTCTCCCTTCTCCAGCTTAAGGAGGCTTTGCCCCCTCCAGGGAACCAGACTAAGGGCATTTTTGGGGAAAGGGCAAATTAACCATTCCTAGCAGATTTATGGCCCTGAAGGACCATTTCAGCTGACTCCGATTTTTGTTCCAGATCAGCCAGCCCAGCAGAGCCCAAGTCCGGTCATTGTTGAAGTCCATCCTCAGGGCCTTCGAGGGACCCCGGGCTTGGGTGGGCTGGAGTGCTGCCTGCCAATGCTGAGGTGACAGCGTGCCTGGCACACTGAACACAGGCCTGGGGGGGCAAAGGGACCTCCGGGAGACCCAGGCCGCTGCCTCAGAGGTGCTACCTTTAAACCTAGGAGTCTGGTAGTGGGTTATTAAGTGGCAATCCAAAAGGTTAGTGTTTAACTTTCCTTTTTTTAAAAAAGTTACTTGTTTTGCCCAGTAACACTTGCTAGTGTCTGGTAGAGACATGGAAATGGATGAGGCACCTTTCCTCCCCTCACTGCAGGGGGCCAGCCCTTCCCCAGGTGCTGCCTCTGGTTAAATGAGCTTGAGCTTGTTTATCCTTCTGGAGACAGTGGATCCTTTAAAACGAAATAGAGGGGTGTCCTCCTTCCTTCCTGCACCCTCTTTGTCTTCCTGTCCTCTCTGGCCTGCCCTTTGCACCTGGAACTTGGTGAGTTCAGTCCTGCTGCAGTTTTTAGCAGCTGTGTGGCATTCCACAGGTTTTTGAGTTTTTTCCTTTTTGCTATTTGTTTTTGCAAAATACATCTCACAGAAAACATTGAAAACATGAATACATTAGAACCATCTAACAAAGGGGAAATTTATGTTCCCCATGTCCCCTCCCCAGTAGAAGCTCACTCACTCCACAGCTATTCTGACTTGATTAATCGATTTCTCCTGATGTGCTTCATGGTTTTCCATCTATGACCCATCTCGAAATAATTTATTAGTTATTTTTGCTCTTTTTTTAATATTTATTTTTTAGTTTTTGGTGGACACAACATCTTTGTTTGTATGTGGTGCTGAGGATCGAACCCAGCGCCCCATGCGTGTCAGGCGAGCGCACTACCGCTTGAGCCACATCCCCAGCCCTTAATTTTGTTCTTTTTGGATTTCCTAGACATGGGACCACTCTGCTGACTTCTGTGACTTCCCATTCCAGTGGAGACTCGCCCTGGAGGGCACCGTAGCCCCGTTCATTTTCACTGCCGTGGAGCACACCTGCGCCCGGTGTGTGTAGCCTTCCTCTTGCTGAGAAGCCTGTGGGCTTTCACCTTGACTCTTGGGAAGGAATGACTGGGAACATTCTTGTCCATGGCTCCTGGCGCACGTGAGCAAGCGTTTCTCCAAGGTGTAAGCGAGTGTGGAATCGCTGGCACTTCTGGCTCCTCCAGGTTCTGCCAGACTCTCTCCCCGCGTGGCCGGACTCTTCTTGCACTGGCAATACAAGCACTGAGTGTTTTCGGGTCACCCAGGGGTGGGAATTTGGACTGAAAGTCTGTAGTAGGGCAGTCTTGTGATCACGACTTCTTGGGGTGAGTTTTTTCTTTGTTTACCCATCTGCTCAGTGACAAAGATCAACTCAGTTTATTTTTCTTGCAGGCAGTTTTCTGGGATGGGAGGAGATAGATCAGGTTTCTTTCTGGTTCACTCTTACCAGAGGTCTCAGATTCCACTGGTGTAAGATCTCCTTAGATTTTTACCTTGGGCTCTGGGCTGGGGCCCTGTGCCCTTTAAAGCTTTGAAAGCTGATTCAGTCTTGCTTGGTTCTGTAAATTCCCTCAGAATAAAAAGTGCTTCCTTACCTCTCTGGGGGTGTTGGTTAGCTTTTCAACACTGATAAAATACCGGAGAAAAACAGAGGAGAGAGATTTCTTTTGTCTCACTGTTTCAGAGCTTCAGTCCATGCTGGGCTGGATCCCTGGCTTCTGGGCCTATGGTGGGGCCGCACATCATGGTGGAAGGGTCTGGTGGGGCAAAGCTGCTCGCCTCGCAGCAGCTGGGAAGCAGAGGTTGTGGCGGGGACCAGGGAGCAGGGCCTCCAAGGTCCCCGCCAGCTTCCAATTGTCTATTGCACCATAAACCCTTCAGTGGATTCATCCACTTGTCAAAGCCCTTGTCACCCAGTCACTTCCCAGCAGCCCTGCCTTCGAACACTGCTGCGAGGGCACCAGGCTTTCAGCACATGAACCTCTGGGGGACGTCCCAGGTCCAAGCTATAATATTGGGTTTCTGCTTCCTCTTAGATTTTGGCCTGAGTGTTCCTTAAATTTTGCCAACTCGTGTGTGTGTGTGTGTGTGTGTGTGTGTGTGTGTGCGCGTGCACGCGCGCGCACACACACACACATTGTTTATTTATTTATACATACACATGGTTTATCCGGTATTTTTAGATATTTTCATGGGAGGGATGGGTGGTCACGTGATTTTGCCCAGCTGGAGAACTCACTTCCCTTCCACATAGTGCTCTGAGGTGTCCCTAGGTTTGGCTCCCATTCTCGGGGGTCTTCGGTTTCACTGCTGGGCAGGGTGCCTGGCCCACTGCAGTGATGGATGCACTTTTGCCCCCTCCCCGACTCTTGCCAACTGAACTGCTGTAACATGGGGCCTGGAGGTCTGGTCACTCTTTCAAACTCAGGTGACACTGGTTTGTCCCAGAAGACCACTTCAGAGTTCCTGGGTCTTGTCCCTGGTTTTGAAGAGCTGAGGTCAACTCTGAGTCGAGCATGTGGGTTTGCCTGGGGGCCAGATGCTCCCTGGCCTTGCCCGTGGGGAGGGGTGCTTCGGTAGCAGGAACATTGTGCGGAGACGCTGAGCCCGTGTCTCGTGTTTTCAGGTCCTGCTCCTCTTCGGCCCTGGTTGCAGATTCCTGCTAGTGCTTTTGCCAAATACTTTGCTGTTTTAGCCTTTTGATTTCTGAAATTCCATAATGATGCTCGCGTTTTTTCACTCCTGGGTAGACTGTGAAACCTAATGTTCTCTGCCGTGCCACCTCCATCTTGGTAGTGCTCATCTCAGGCTGGCCTGATTCTTGGTTTTGAAAAGTGTTTGTGCTTTACTCCCTCTGTGAGGACGCTGCGAAGGCTGCCTTTTTTTTTTTTCCTTAACCTACTTCCAGATTGTCTTTTTGTCCTGCTTTTTACTGCCTCAGGTCTTGTGTGTGAGGTCTCTTTCGGGCACAGTGGCCACAGTTCAGAGGACCCGCCCATGGCACAGGTGCAGCCCCTTACGTGCCTGAGCTCCCCTTGGCCACAAGCTCAGTTCCAGGAGTGGCTTCCCCAGGCTTCCCTGAGGAGGGAGGCCAGGTGACCGCAGGTACTCAGGTGTTCCCCAGCAGGCGAGAATTCTTCCCGACAGCGGGCACGTCTTGTAGAGCTCCACCTTGTTCACGATTACTTTAAAAAGGTTTCTTCCAAAAAGCTGTTTCTTTTTCCTGTAATCCTTTTCTCTACCCTCTACTTTCTCCATATGGATTTGGGGAAACTTTTTATTTATGTTTTGCAGTGCCGGGAAGGAACCCTGAGCCGCCCAGGCACGATGCAAGCCCCCAACCGCGGAGCTGGTCCCCAGCCCAGATCTTTAATTTTTATCGCTTGTTCCTGAGAGTTGCCTTCTAGCTCAGCAGCTGCAGCCGTCCCTTTCTGACCTGTCCTGTCTGCTGGGGCGCTTGGCCTCGGGCAGGCTTCCTCTGTTGCTCAGCGCCCCTCGGTCGGTCTGCGGGGGCTCCTCTCCCCTTTTTCACTCTGTCCAGGGGCACCCCGAGGCCTTCCTGGGTCTCCAGAGGCTCCGCCCTGTGCTCTGAGGGGGTCTTTGTTCTCTTCTGTGCCTTTCATGTCAGTCCCCCGCGCTGTGCTTGTCGTGTAACACTGGGCCATTTTAGACAGAGATTCATTTTTACAATTATTTATTTTTTCCTTAATAATAATAAAAAAAAGGACCTTTATTTCCAACTGACTGTTGGGATCCTGAAGCTGAACTGGACGCCCTGCAGCCCTGGGTCTAGACAGAGGTCCTTCCTGCACCCGCCCAGGTCGCAGTGTGCGGTTTTTAGGGGCCTCACTGAGGCTCCGGGGCGCCGTCAGCCTGGCCCTCTGCTACGCGCCTCGCTTTCTCTTGCTCTTGGGGGGTGGCCACATTGGCCGCAAGTCACCTTCTGAAGCTGGTGGGCCTTAGGCTGTAAGAGCAGCACAGCAGAGGCCGCCGACTGACCCTTTCGACTGACCCTTTCCAGAGGCGTCCTCTTGCTCCTGCGGGGAGATGGAGGGGCAGCTGCGCTCCCTCAGGTTTGCTTTCTTGCCATCTTGGCTGTTTCCCTTTTGTCTTCAGGAACACGCGCCTCTTCCTTCTCTTGGTCCTTCTTTCTTGCTTTCCTGGGCCTGGTCTCCTCCTTCCTGCCACCCTCTATCCTTGTGTGTTTTGCAGGAACACGGAGTCTTCACTGAAAGCCCTCTGGGGGTGAGCAGGTGTCCTCCCTGACTTTGCCAGCTCCAGCCTGGCAGCGGTGGTGCTGTGCACCTTCCGGGCCACAGGAGGACAAAGTGTGTGTGTGAGGTCGCTTTCCCTTACTGAAACAAATACCAGAGGCAAATCAACTTATACAGAGAAAAGATTTATTTTGCTCAGTTTTAGAGCTTTCCATTCACTACTGGTTGGCCCAATGCTTTTGGCCTGTGGCAAGGCAGCACCTCCTACCTGCAGGGCGTGGTGGAGGAAGTCTACTCACCTCCTGGCCTGGGGCCAGAGAGACAGGAGGAAAAAGGGCTGGGTTTGCACAGTGCCCTTCGGGGGACATGCCCCCGGGGACCTAAAGCCTTTTACCAGGCCCCACTCCCTAAAAGTTCCACCACCTCTCATTGTTCCTTGGTGCTGGGGACCAGTCCTAATACATAGGCCTTTGGGGGTCATCTAGATCTAAATGACATGATTGGGAGTTACACTGTAGAGTCAATCTGTTGGATTTGAGTCCTTGACTCCTCAAACCTCACTGCGTAAATTAATCTGGATGGTCAAGCATCATGCACAAGGCCTGGGTTCAATTCCCAAAACTTCCCTAAAGGAATCAAGTGTGATATATTTATAAATGTTCATGGCAGCATGATTCATAATAGCCCCAAAATGGAAATAGCACAATGTTCATCAACAGATGAATGGGCCAGGCCTGTAATCCCAGCATCTTCCGAGGCTGAGGCAGGAGGATTGCAAGTTTGAGGCCAGCCTCTGTAATTTAGCGAGGCCCTAAGCAACTTAGTGAGACCCTGTCTCAAAATAAAAGATAAAAAGGGATGAAGCTCAGTGGTAAAGTACCCCAGGTTCAAACCTAGTATAAAAAAACAAAAACAAACAAATAGAATATTATTCAGCCATAAAAAGGAATGAAGCCTTGACAGGTGATAGACATAGATGAACCGTGAAAGCGTGCTGAGAGAAGCCAGGCACAGAAGACACGTGCTGTATGAGGTCCTGCGCACTGTCCAGAATAGGCGGATCCAGAGAGCTGGAGAGCAGATCAGTGGTTGCAGTAGACCACTAGGGGCCACTGACGTGGCGAGGTTTGTTGTGGATGGTGAAATGTCCTGGAATCAGTGGTGATGGTTGCACAAAGTCACAGATAGACCAACACTCACTGAACCGTCTGTTAAAATGGTTCCAATGGCCAAAGAAAACATTTAATGAAAGTAACCAGGATTGACCTCGGCTTGCTGTGCCTTCCTGCTCTTTGTCCGTGGACCTGTGCATTTTGGAATTAGAATATGGGCATTTTCAGACTCATGTGCCAAACGGCTTTCATTGTCCCCTGCCCCTGGTCATACTGACTTACTGAGGTTGTTTGAGTGCTTGGTTATGTTACTGTTTGAGCCTGGAATGTACCCAGAGCCTCTTGTGTTGAAGTCCTCTTGGTCCCCAGCTGGTGGTGCTACTGGTGGGAGCTAGGAGTTGGGGTCATCGGAGGCATGCCTTGGAAGGGTGTGCTTCATGCCTGGACACCTTCCCGCCCACTGCTCCTGGCCATGACGTGAGCAGCTCTGCTCTCCTTGCTGCCTCCCCCGTGATGCTGTGCCTCACCATAGCCTGTGGTAATAGAGACAAAGAACCGTGGAATGAAACATCTGAAACTGAGCCAAAAGAAACCTTTCGTCCTTTAAGTTGCTTTTCTCAGGTATTTTGTCACGGTGATGGAAAGCTGACTAGCACCCTTACAAGTGTAAAATGGACGGCTCTCACCAAAAAGCAGATAATTTAAGGAATCTGAAACAATACATAATTATAGTTAACCTGTAATTTGTTCACACTAATAGAATTCCAGGATTTTGTATCATCATAACGCTTTGTGTCACATTTCTGTTGCTGTGACAAATTCTTGACAAAGTCAGATTGAAGGAGGAAAGGTGTATTTTGGCTTTTGTGTCAGAGGTTTCAGTTAATGGTTGCTTGGGGCCTGAGGCAGCACAGGACATCCTGGCAGGGAGGAGAGAGAGAGAGAGAGGGAGAGAGAGAGAGAGAGAGAGAGAGAGAGAGAGAGAGAGAGAGAGGTATG